GGAAGCCAAGCAACTGCCATAACATGCTGTGCTATTAATTTAAGTGACTGTACTCTGTAAATATAATAAAAATGCTGAGGGAAAAAATACAACATCAAAGCAAAACTATGTTAAAATAATTGTGAATTTATTGACTTAGAACATGCATCTAATCACTCTTGGTCCCCACCCACCTTTGCTCCTTCAATACACATATTTTACATTCATTACTTTTGGAAAACTAATCTTGAATTATTTAAGGTTCTAATTATGTGTATACTCCAGACTCTATTCCTTCCATAAAATGGGACTACACCACCCTGTGTAAGGTAGTACATGATTAAAGGTCAAAATGAAAGCAATGAGATAATAAGCCAGAGTGATCAATATGGGCTACAATAAGAGAAGGAAGCCCAACTGATTCATTTATGGCCTTTCAGTCAACATATATTAAATTATCAATATGTTTTATGCCCTGGCTGGTTTTCTCAGTGGTTAGAGCATTGGCCCATGGACCAGAGAGTCCCAGGTTTGGTTCCTGCTAAGGGCACATGCCTCAGTTGCAGTTTGTCCCTGGACCCGGTTGGGGTTGTATGAGTGGCAGCCACTCGATGTGTCTCTCTCACATTGATATTTGTCTCCCTCTTTCTCCCTCTCTCCCTCCCACTCTATCTGAAGATAAAAATGCAAAAAAAAAAAAAAATTATCAATATGTTCTAGACAATGTGCCAGAAGCTAGAGATGGAAAAATTATTAGAATGTACTATTTCATAAAATAGGGGAAAGAAATATATAAATAATAGTAGCATGGCAAAGAAATTCTGGATCATCACAAGTTGCATTAAACTAATTTCATCAATTAGGATTGGAGAATTTTAGACTATCTAAAAGAAAGACACTCCTTTGGCAGAAATTTTAGAAAACAAGGTATATTTGTATGTTTAAGCAATTACAATTGCTATGGTATGAATGTCTGTATCCCCCCCACCAAATTCATATGTTGAAATCCTAATTCCCAATAGTATTGGGAGATGGGGCCTTTGGGAGGTGATTAGGTCATGAGGGTGGAGCCCTCATGAATAAGATTAATGCCCTTACAGAAAAGTCCCCCCCAAAAACCCTTCCCCATTCCACCATATAAGGAATACACTAAGGAATCTGTGACCCAGAAGAGGGGCCTCATATGATCATGCCAGCATCCTGATCTCAGACTGCCAGCCTCCAGAACTGTGAGAAATACATTTCTGGTGATTATAAGCTATCCAGTCTATTGTATTTTGTTATAGCAGGCCAAATGAACTAAGACACTGAACTGTAAGATCTAATTATCATTAAATGCCTTCATTAAATTAGTAATGCCCTTTCTTTTCTTTTCAATACAGGCACAGAACTTGTGACATATTGTTATCACTTTTTTTCCCATTACTATAATTAAAACCATACAATATAGCTAAAAACAGCTATGTAAATGTGTGGTTTTTTATTACTATTTATGGTACTGGTGCCTAACTGTGATTTAGTGGTTTGTTTTTTTCTTGATTGATTTTAGAAAGAGAGGAAGAGAGAGGGAGACAGAGATAGAAACATCGATGAGGGAGAACATCAAGTGGACGCCTCCTGCATGTCCCCCACTGGGGATTGGGTCCACAACCTGGGCATGTGCCCTGACTGGGAATCAAACTGGCAACCTCTTGGTGCACGGGTCGACATTCAACCAATGAACTACACCAGCTGGGCTGAGGTTTAGTTTTAACTCAAAGCCATCTACAAAAACAAAATGTATCCTCTAATAAAAATATCAAATAATATCCCACTAAAATTATAAAAACTCATGCTGTGGAAAAAAAAATGCCTGCATTTATAAATGGTACAGTATTAGCATAAAGGATGAAGTGGTCAAACTGAAGAGGGAGTGGGCATGAAAGGTTTCTCAGACTATGTGGCAACAGAATTAAAATTTGAAGGACAGGTAGAAAGGTCAATGGTGGTGGTAGAGGAAGAACACCAACTTGAAGTACTCCAGCTAGCCAAATAAAACAAAGAACTCAAAGACAGGAAAGACATGGCCTTTTAAAATGAACTGTACAGCCTGGCCAGTGTGGGCCAGTGGTTGAGCATCGACCCATGCACCAAGAGGTCACTGGTTCAATTCCTGGTCAGGGCACATGCCTGGGTTGTGGGCCAAATCACAGTGGGGGCATGCAGAAGGCGGCCAATCGATATTCTCTCTCATCGATGTTTCTATCTCTCTCTCCCTCTCCCTCTCTTCCTCTCTCTCTCTAAAGTCAATAAAAAAAAAATTTTAATAAACAAATAAAAAGAACTGTACAACTGTTGCTGACATCATTTAAACGTAGTGCCAATGTCAGCATTTGTATTTGGGGGGAAAAACAAAATGTTACTGAAATAAAAATAATAGGCAGAAGGGGTTAGAGGTAGGGGTTCAAATAAAGAAAAGAGGGAATCATATCAAATCTCTCATGAGGTGAGTCAACACACTGTTTTATTTTATTTTTATTTAGTTAGTTAGTTTTTTGTTAATCCTCATCCAAGGATATTTTTCCATTGGTTTTTAGATAGAGTGAAAGGGAGGAAGGGAGGGAGAGAGAAACATGGCTGTGAAAGAGACACATTGATTGGTTGCCTCCTACATGATCCCAACCCGGGCTGGGGATCGAACCTGCAACTCAGGTACGTGTCCTTGACCAGGAATCAAAGCCACAACAACACTTCGGTCCTTGGGCCGACACTGTAACTGCTGAGCCAAACTGGCCAGGGCTTATGTTTTATTTTTAATGTTAGCAGAGAAATATAGGTTCATTCATTTATCCATCTAACTTATTATAGAGGATAGTGTTCTAAAATGAAAATAGGATGTTTAATTTCTAAGTTACCCCTTTAAAAACTGCTTAAATAAAGAAAATTTGAAAATGGCATAATGTAATAGGTGAGTGGGAAAAAAAAAATTTTAAATCTCCCCCAAGTATACATAAAATAGTGTAAGCAAAATTAAGTATGTCAGTTATCAAGAAATATAACTAGCCCTGCCCAGGTGGCTCAGTTGGTTGGAGTGTTGTCCTGTATAGCAAAATGTTGTGGGCTGATTCCTGATCAGGGTACATACCTGGGTTTTGGGTTCAATCTCCAGGTGGGGCACATATGGTAAGCAACTGATTTATGTTTCATGTCTCTCTCTCTCTTCTCCCTTCCTTCCTCTCTCTCTCAACTCAATAAACATATCCTCAAGTGAAGATAAAAAGAAATATAACTATCAAAGGGTTCAAATACTAATGTTAGATCAACCAAATACTATTTATAAGAGAATGCTTAATATAGTTAGGTTAAAAATAAAGTAAAAAACTCACCAAGAAATACAAACATAAAGAAAGTATGGGTTACAAATATCAACATCAGGCACAATTTCAAGGCAAGAGGCATGAATAGGGTAAATTGATCAAATTACAATCCATAGTGAAGCTATAAAAGAATACATTTTTATTGCCCTGGACAGTTTTTCTCAGCGGTTAGAGCATCGGCCTGTGGTCCAGAGAGACCTGGGTTTGGTTCCCGCTAAGGGCGTGTACCTCGGGTGCAGTCTGTCCCCGGCCCTGGTTGGGTCATGTGGGTGGCAACCACTTGATGTGTCCCTTTCATGTCGATGTTTCTCTCTCTCTCTTCTTCTCTCTCCCTCCCACTCTATCTGAACAAAAAAATGGAAAAATGTCCTTGGGTGAGGATTAAAAAAAAAGAATACATTTTTATAAACTAAATTAACATTGAAGTTGTCTGTCTTTCATAGATAAACAAAAGGAATAATAATATAAGTAACTAAATAATATAAATTAAAATTTAGTCTAATAGCTAGATGCTGAATCCAACAAACAGAATATACATGTAAAAAAATACATATGGAAAATTTAGAAAAACAGATCATATATCTAGACTACAAAGAAACAAACCTCATATTTTTTTAAACTGAAATTTGACAGTCCAGAATCTTATATGAATGCTATTAAATCAGAAATAAACTAAAAATAAATAAACAAAGCCCACAATAAAACATACTCTCCTAAATACCTGTGAGCTAAATAAGAAATCAAAACAGTAAACATAAATTAGGAAAATAATAATGTATAAAATTTGCACAGGAAAAAACATCTATCTTTCTATATAAGTTTGATCAATTCCTTATAACAGATTTCCAGAAGTAGTGTAGAAGTGAAAGTCACTAAAACTGAGTAAGTCAAGGAACCTTCTGGCTCAGGAGTAAAATGGGTCATTCATGTAATCAATGAAAATCCCCCATATAATAGTAAGTGTTGAGCAGAGCAAAGAGATGGATGACAAAGTACCCAATGAATTTGGAGAAATCACTAAGAAGTGAATAAATGATAGAAGTCAAGGAATATCAATCCAGAAATTTAGAGGGATTAATTGGCTGAAAGAAGTATATATATATATTGAGCACTTTATTTTCACTCCAATTATAAAAGTATAACATAAATTCCTTAAGTGTGATAGCCAGATTATCAATAAGTATTTATTTATTGACCAATTAATACAAAGAGGTTCTAATCACTTAACATTTTAGTCATTTGATCAAACCAACTATAATGAATAATTACATGGAAGCTTCTAGATATAAGATAAAATGTCCATGCGTAGGCGAAGGTGGCTAATGCATCTTCTCATTTCTTTACTTAGAGTATTCATTCATACATTGACAAAATAAGTATGAACATATTTAGGCCACTTCATACTACAATTAGTAGTTGTAATAAGTTTTATGCATTTTTGACTAAACTTGGACTTGATCTTGAACTGCTGAAACCTGTTATTACCATTTGCAGCATGCAAAGTTTGCAGAGAGCTAAATGGTTTATTGTATTTATTATAAAGGCTTAAGAAAGAAAAAATACCTTGTTAGTGAAATTGTTTTTTTCCTGGGAAGTAAGAATGAGTTTTTCCACTTTATCAAAATACAAACAAAAACCTTTTAGCTTAATGCTCATAAAACCAACCTGTAATTTTTGCTGCCTTTTCTTCTTGGTTTACTCGGTTCTCATCATCATCTTCATTATCTTCTTCAAAGTCATCTAAATTCCCAATGTCAGCCTGCTTCATACTCATCAAACTAGCCAAACTTTGCATGTCTTCATCCCTATATCAATGATTTATAATAAAATACACAGTTCATTAAATGATATTGCTTGAAAAAAAACTGTTTCTTAAGAAAATATTAATATATTCCTTTTCTGTACATTTATAAGTCATCTTAAACAGTTGTAAAATACTATTGAAAACCCTGAATACTCATTTATTAATTTTTAAACAACATGTTTAATTAGTTAAAAGCAAACAGGATTAAAAACTAACTGGTTAGGAGTTACTTTAACTCTGTGTTACTGTTACAGACATATGGAAGACTAAAATTTTCTTTATGGGATTAAAGTATGGTTTCCTAACCATGAAGCCTGGAAACAAAAACTTGTTTCATAAAACAGTGAGATAGTTGCCAAATCAGATGAGATCCAAACTTTGAAATATTTAAATTTTCATAAGGAATTAAAATAGAAATTCTTAATCTGAAGTCCATGAACCCTTTTGGTTTTGTGAATTGGAGGAAAAAGCACTAGTAAGGTCCTGTAAATTGTATTTTAATCTTGTTTAAAGGTGCATTTTTCTCAAAGGGGCTATAACTCCCTAAAAAAAAAAAAGAACTAATGTAATATAAAAAGCATCTTAAGATAAAGTCTAGCCTTTTTAAGAATTACAAGATGGAAAATGACATGGGTGATTATAAGTTAGATATCATATAGTTGGTAAAATGTAAAAATGTTTTTATATTGAAGTATTTAAAATATAAATTTATAAAGTTTACATTAGAATATGAACAAAAATGAAAAGAAAGAATTTACATTAAATACTCTAAACATCAAATAATTTAAGTTTTCCTAATCTGTCATTTTCACCTTAAATTGAAAACTACAGTGGATGAAACATATTTCTAACATGTTATATACAAACTAAATTTCAGTCACATATACTTTCTCAAAACTCAGAAAGCCAAATTAAAACAGTGTCTCATGTTCTTAGCACAATACAATAAAAAATATATATACTGTTTCTTTTGTAAAGTGGTGCTTGTTAATATTCACTCTTCTAAAATACATGACTTGGCACTCTAAACTGGTTTTTTAAATTATTTGCATCTTATCTCATATAGCTTAGAATTATAATCATTTCCCCCTTTTAAGATAAGTTAGTGACACAAAGTAAGCATGAACAAAAACAGTTGTTACATTGTATGAATGTCTTACAAATTGCTCACCTATCAATGGGGGATAATTTCAAGATACGACATTATTCTTAAAATGTTAATCTATTTAATTTTACCTCTTTAATTTCCTCATATTTTAACCCTGAACATTTTTCTTTGGGAAAGGTAAGGAGGCAAGGAATGAGGAGGAGAGAGGGAATTTAGGGTGTTTGAGAGAATTCTTCACTCAAACTGAGAGACACCTGGTTTGACTGAATTTCCTCTTACCCATATTCTTTTAAATGGTGTTTCTGCCCAGTGGAAAGGAGTCCACCTTCAAAGGATCTTCTTTAATTTTGTTTTCTCTCTTCTTCCTCTGTTTCCTTTCATTTTAAGCTTGGACTTCGGGTAAGAATTTTATTTTTAATTCCTCAATATTTAACTCTACTATTTAAGGTCGAAATGAAAGACTAATTGCTTCCATTCTGCACTGTCTGTCTGCTACACTAACTTAGAAGCAAACTTTTCAGAGAAGAGGCTTACTGTTATCTATCAAGTCATTTGCAGCTCTGCAGATGAGTGCCAAACATCTCATTTTGATGCAGAGTATTCAGTCTAATCAGTCAAGTAGATATGGCCAATTATAGTAACCACATTTCACTAGGTCAAATATATTCAGAAGTGTGATTCAGATTGGATTGCAATATTTATAGCTGCCTTCTTCCCTTCACCTTTTAAGTCTAGGCATAGAATTTACATTTCTCCTTTCCCTGAATTCTCCACTCCAAATAGGAACTAACCGTTTCACTACACCCAAAACATGCACTTACACGTGACTTAACTATATGCAAAACCAGGGTGGATGTTACTTTTTTTTTTAACCTGTTCTAGGTATGTTCACCTTGTTTTATCCAGTTACAATATTAAGTCTTTTAAGAGACTAGAACTGGGTATAGAAATTATCTTTGTGCAATGCCTATTCAGTGCTTTATTTATTTATTTATTTTTTATCCTTACCCGAGGACATTTTTCGATATTTTGTTCAGATAGAGTGGGAGGGAGAGAGACAGAGAGAGAGAGAAACATCGATGTGAAAGGGACACATTGAGTGGTCGCCACCCGCACGACCAACCAGGGCCGGGGACAAACTGCAACCGAGGTACGTGCCCTTAGGGGGAACCGAACCCGGGTCTCTCCAGACCGCAGGCCAACGCTCTAACTGCTGAGCCAAACCGGCCAGGGCCTATTCAGTGCTTTAGAAGTGATTTTTGAAAGGACTGTTATTATAACGAAGTGTGTCTAACTGTACCTTGATATAAAATTTTTGGAAGGCTGAGCCAAAGAACATGAATTGACAAATGTTCCTTCAATTCTTTTCATCACTCTTATCCTAAACTTTTCCTTTTGGATTCCTCTCACACCTCAGCTGAATTAAACAGCTCCAAAAATTGAACTGTCCGTATTTCAGAATACAACCACGTATACTGAAGACACTAAAATATAAAACAAACATGTATGATATCCTATAATATACAATTTAGCATTTGAAACTTGCTGTGATCACTTTTATATGATTGTTCATTCTCTAGAGTCAAAAGAGGCTATAAATAACAAGAGTTCATTTAATTCAGCCTCTGAAACAAAGAATGGTAAGAATGATTGGTATGTGGTAGGATGTTCTCAACTGCTACCAATCTACTGAGTCAAAAGCTATTTACCTACAGTGTTTTAAAACACACTCTGAAGCGGCTTTTTTGACAAAAGAAACTTACGTAGCTTTTCCTTCCCGGAGGAAAATGCAAGATAATGAAAACTGGAGAGTGGCAGATACAACTTTTTTAGACAATGGCTTAAATTTCAACTTGACATCAGTCTGAGTTGGCATAGGGCTTGCATACTGTTTCATGTTGATGCTGCTAGTAGCAAGAGCTTTCCTTCGACCAGAAGGGGACTCCTGGAAGATAAAAATAATTATGTAATTTGGAATTATTTACTTTATAGTCAAATATTTTTAAATACTATTTTAATAATATGGTTAAATAACAATTGAGACTTCCTTCTCCAATGAATTCCTATAACACAATGAAATAAAATCATGATGGGGTTATATCCAACTTTTATATATTTAAGGCAGATATAAAATTGGAGAGAGCTGGCCAGGCAGAAATAGGGGAAGACTTGAACAACCCTCAATAACTCAGGAAAGGAAAAGCAAGGAATGCAAATGAGAACAAAGTCTCTGGGATTCCTGTGAAAAGCACAGGGCTAGGTATCAAAGTTCTCAATAATTGTTTTCCTTCCTTTGATTATAGTTAATGTAACCTATTTACATTATAATTTAAATGTAATGATATTAGGTTAAATTAACCTAATTAAGCTTTCTGAATGCCTACAATTTTTTTATAAAACATCCCACTTTGGTGGCATTCTACCTCATTGTGCCTACAAATACTAGATTCTATCTATCCCGTACTATGAGCCTTATTTCTTCCTGGGGCCTTTTCTGATCACTCCAGTTTATAGTTCTCTCTCTTTCCTAAGATCATATATATCAAGGAAGAAATGGTTGGCTTCTCCGATCCTATGCCACGTGGCAGACACAACTAAGTAACCCCAGCAGATTTCAAAATTCTTCTCCACACAGCTATTGCCAATTCATCAGAAACAGAACACAAAATGAAACCTATTTGCTATCAAAGGTATTTAACATTCCATTAATATAATATCTTGTTTAAAAATTATTCTTTATAGAATAATAGCATAGGAGAACAATGATAACAGGACAGCAAAATAATGATTAAGTATGAAGAAGACAAGGTGTCAATTCTGGAGAAATGTTATAATGAATAAAACATAATAATCCCAGGCTATGTGTTCTAATGGCAAGGAAAAATTTTATTTATTTTATTTTTAAAAGTAAATTTATTGGGGTGGCACTAGTTAATAAGATCATATGAGAAACTTTACAATAAAATTTGTAAATAATGTAAATTAGAGGTCATATACCATCATTAATGGAAACCAGAAGTCATATACTAGCATTCCTTAGAGTTTATTGGTCTGAGAGTTCAGACCTAAAATAAAGCCTAATTTCCAAACTACATGACCTTGAGCCTCAGGAGACTAAACAAATCTATTCAAGCTCTACATTTGTATTCTATAAAATTACTCAATTTTCCAACCAAGACAGGAGAAACTACCATTGACATTTGAATTATTTAATAAATCTTTATTTGTCCTATGACTGACAAACTTGTCTAAAATTAGGATATACTAATTTAATCAAAACATTGAAACAGCCTTTTTTAAAAAAAATTGAATTTCTGCCAGCAGACCAAGTAAAAATGTAATGTAGCATCCCTAAAGAATACCTTGTTTTAAAACATGGTCTTATCTGTCAGATTATGCACAGCAATATTATACAGAACTATTAGTGCATGTAGATACCTTATGAATGAATTTCAAAAATGCATCAAGCACTTGAGAAGGATTTAAGCTCTCTCAGAAGACATACTTAAGAATATGCAAATACCCTCAACTGAATCAAGTTGAACAGATGTGACTAACCCAAACAATACAAGTGTTCTTTCCCTGGTTGCTACTGTCAATCAAAGAATAAGATTATGGTCCAGGGTTCTGACAATGTGCAAAATGAAAAAATATGATCAGGGAGTATCAACTGATTACACTGATATGAACAATAATCTCTTATTGTACCTTTCAAATAGCTAAGGACTTCTACATATAATAATATAGGACTTAAAGCCTGTCTTGAAACCATGACAAAGTGCCACATGTTTTCAGATTTTGTTAAACATCTGTTTCAGAAGTATGACATTGATCCTTTGATAGTAATTATCTAATTTTATAACCAAATAATAAAACTATAAAAATTAACATAACTTGTGCCCTGGCCTGTTTGGCTCAGCGGTTAGAGCATTGGCCCCACTAAGGGCACATACCTCGGTTGCAATTTGTCCCCGGCCCCAGTTGGGGTTGTGTAGGGGTAGCAACCACTGAATGTGTCTTTCTCACATTGATGTTTCTCTCTCTCTCTCTCTTCACCCTGCTCTCTTTCCCGCTCTGAAGATAAATGCAAAAATGTCCTCGGGTGAGGATAAAAAAAAAAATTAAAAAAATAAAAACATTAAAAAATAAATAAAATAAAGTAAAAATTAAGATAACTTGGAAATGCACATAATTTTGAAAGCCCAGTTTAAGGATGATTCCTGCAAAATCCAGAGTCTTCATGTTTCACATTCTCTTGATCTCATTTTTTATACAAAAATTATGTAGAAAAGGGTTTTCTGCTGGACTTAAAGAATTTTTAAATATTTGGTAAATTGGTGTCTCTGAAAAAACAAGAAGTACATTTACTAAATTCTAAACACAATTAGCTATGCTACTTAATTGAAAGCAATAACTTCTCAGCTACAACAAAACAACTCCTTATAAGGTATGGGCAGGTAGGCAGTATATAGCTCTTTTGAGTCTATACTATTCATTCCTAATATTAACACAGGATCTCACTAAAGTCTATGTCCTTGGAAAAGGGGATCTGGGTAATGTTTCTACTAATTCTTCACCTAGCTCAGATACTGTTTTCCTCCTTAAAATGAGCTATCTCATAGAAAGTATATTTTAAAAGAATATAAATGATAAAAACATGAGGATCTTTCACAGCTCTAACCCCAGCTCCATGAATCTTCACTTTTTATAACCAATGAAGCCAAATCTTGACCCTCGCAAGATTGGTATCATTGCTATCAACAGTTCTATAAAGAAAAATGAGTTAACTGATTGTATTGCTATATGAGCATATCTTTTTTGCATTTGTAGTCCTCTTTTTTTTTTCATCCTCACCCAAGGACATTTTTCCATTTTTTTGGTCAGATAGAGTGGGAGGGAGAGAGAGCAAGAAACATCGACGTGAAAGGGACACATCGAGAGGCTGCCACCCACACGACCAACCAGGGCCGGGGGCAAACTGCAACCCAGGTACACGCCCCTAGCGGGAACCGAACCCGGGTCTCTCTGGACCACAGGCCGACGCTCCAACTGCTGAGCCAAACCGGCCAGGGCTGTAGTCCTCTTTAAAGAAGTAAGGGTCAGCCAGGCAGAGGAAGTTTGGAGAGAATTACTGTTATTGATGCCAGAGTACTGATGATATTTCATATCGCATGCAGGTTAGACAAGAGGACAAAAGTAAGAGAAAAATAGTAAGAGAAACTTTTAGAGAAAGGAAGTTTGATGAAAAAAGTCAAAAAGAAGTGAGTGTTTACACATGTGTAGGACTAAGTTTCTGCCTCTGGCCCCATGTTAATAAATGTATTGGTCCCATTTTTATGTATGTTTATATGTGAATAGGGAAATATTTTGGGAATCCCTAAAGCAGTTCTTAAACTTTAGGGTTTATGTAAAAAATAAAATAAAACTAGGAGGTCTTGTTAAAAATTTACGGTCCTATCCCCCACTGTAGAGATCCTAAATTAATTAAACTAGAGATGGGCCCTGCGTTTTCTAAAATTGTTAAGTCCCTCCCCTACTACCATCCCACCCCTCCCCCTCACACACGAAAACCACTACTACCAGGTGATTCTGATCTAGTTAATCTAAAATCACACTTTTTAGGCTCTGACCATGTAGCTCAATTGGTTAGAGCGTCATCCCATATGCCAAGATTGTGCGTTCAATCCCTGGTCAGGGCACATACAAAAATCAACCAATGGCCCAGGAGGCATGGTTCAGTGGATTGAGCATCATCCCATGGACTGAGAGGTGGCGGTTTGGTTCCCTGTCACAGCACATGCCTGGGTTTTGGGCTTGATCCCCACTGGGGGGCATGCAGGAGCAGCCAATCAATGTTTCTCTCTCATGGATGTTTCTCTCTCTCTCTCCCTTCCTCTCTCTAGAAAACCAATAAAAACATATGTAAAAAACAAAACAAAACACAAGAATCAACCAATGAATGTATAAGTAAATAAAACAACAAATTTCTCTCTCTCTCTCAAAATCAATAAATTAAAAATAAAATAAATAAAATCACATTTTCAGAAATACTTCCCCCAAAGGAAGTTCTTACGTAACATTATTTTACTTAAGAAATCTCACTCTCATTTTTTTATAACTATTCTCATTGTTATAAAAAAATAATCAACCTCCCTGGCCAGTTTGTTCAGTGGTTAGAATGTCGGCCTGAGGTCCAGAGAGACCCGGGTTTGGTTCCTGCTAAGGGCACGTACCTTGGTTGCAGTTTGCCCCAGGCCCTGGTTGGGTCGTGCGGGTGGCAGCCACTCGATGTGTCTCTTTCATGTCAATGTTTCTCTCTCTCTCTCTCTCCCTCCCACTTTATCTGAACAAAAAATGGAAAAATGTCCTTGGGTAAGGATTTAAAAAAAAAAAAAAAAAAGAATCAACCTATTAACCTATATATTTCCATATTTGGAAATCCAGTCTATTTTATGTAACACCAGCACTTATTTATTGATTAATCTTTGGCATATTTCTTCATGTATCTGACTGAACCTCAGTTTCATACTCTCAGATTGGTGTTTTCAAATACTGGATGATACCAAGTGTTGATAGAAAAATAAAAATTCTCTTACACTGCAGGAGAGAATTTCAATTGATCAGCCATTTTGGAGGTCAATTTAACATTACCTTGTAATGTTGAACACATGCTTATCTTACAAATCAGCAATTCCCATCCTAGAAATATGTCCCAGAGAAATTCTTGAAACAACATATAAAAATACCTAGTATTTAACATATAGTAGGTGCTTAACAAATAGTATTTATTTTTAATATTTATGGGCCATTTAACCTGATTTGTTACACTAATATTACAAATAATTTATCCAGAATTACAAATCTTGAAATGAGACAAATAAATGAAGACCGAAATGCAGGATGTTTGCTTTAAAGCAATGTCTTTACTACATTAATACAGTAAAG